ATGCATTTTTAATTACAATGCATAATGACTTTGTCTTTGCTATCTATCTACGGAGTAACATTTTTTAATCGTTCAAGTATGTTTTATTTAGTAGTTTTTCCTGTCTCTTTAAAAGCTTTACCCAAAAATTGTGGCATTTTTTTTTTTTTTTTTGGTTAAACTTCTTCGCTTTTTGCTAAGATATTTTTGTGCTTAACCTCTTTCAGTTGAAATCATTCAAATCCCATATGTTAGTTCACGCGAAGAAGATCGCGTAGGGGGAAATTTCTCTAAAGCATTTAACATATTTAGATAGATATAGATTTGTAGTGTTTGTACTATTTCTGGTACAGATTAGATGAAGTTCGTAAACTGCTTGTCTGAAGTTCAATTACAAAAAAGTTTTTCAGACGCAAAATATTGCAATTTTAATCTTGTTTGGCCAACCAATCGATAAAAACCAATGACACTTTAACACACGTAATAAATGTGAAAAATTTGTATCGCATCGCATGAGTCTTTGGTTTCTCTCCCATGCAATTATTTATACAAAACCTAAGCCTTTTCATGATAACAAAGTCGAACTTTTACTATTTCACGATCAGAATCGGTTCCAGACCATAGAGATTTCACGTATTAATTTTTGATCCCCTTTCCTATGAACGGTTTTTAATGAAAAGTAAACCTTATATGGCGACAAAGTAAACTATTGTATGGCACGTAATGGACGAGCTTAACTGAATAAAACGTTTTAATTTGCTTGTAAACATTTAATTGCATTAATCAATTGAATGTAGAGCATAGTGCGGATATATGTTATGTGCTTGCGCCCTATTTTAGATAACGCTCGATTGCGCTCGATTACGCTCGTCTGTTTAATTCAGGCCCAAGGAGAAGCTTAACCAGTCAAAATACGACCTCAAGTTCCATGTAAAATATTTACTTTTTGACAGTGTCTATCGGGATGGATTTTATTATTTAGATATTCCCACTACCAAAAATATTTTTGTTTTATTACAATAAAACGGTTATTAATTAGTTAGACGATTGCTAAGATTTGTAAAGAGCTGTATATGATCTTATACGATACTACCTCGACCTATTGCTTCAGGAACTGTGCCACAAACGTTAATTGCAAGTTTGCTATGCGCGTGTATTTGCTCACTTTCTCACATCGTTTAGAAAATTTAACAGCATTTTGCATAAGTACTTTGCATAAAACTTTGAAATGCCAATGCACATTTTCACACTTGTATTTATAGGATAAAAATAAAAAATTTAATAAAATGCTATATACGAGAGTACAAATTTACATATACACTTCCGTGTATTATATGTCTGGCAAGATCTAGATACACATTAGTTATAGATGCAATTTTGCGCAGATATTTAAAAGTGACATGTGTGTCCGTGTATGTTTAAAATTAAGTTTATAACTTTGAAAAAGCAAAATTATTCATCTACAAAATATATAGAAAAATTTGAGCGTAACTGCGTTAAAAGTTTACAAAACATTATGACTGAAACACTCATATGCAACTGTGTGTAACTGCTCTAATAAACAACATCTACATGCACTATAATACGGTTGTGCCATGTGTTTGTTTAACTCGTTTACTCACCCGCATATTCTTTTCTGTTCGTCGTAGACTGTGCTTGTTATAATTTTTACGACATAGTAACAAAAAGTTTTTATAACTTTTAAGCACTAAAATCTCATCATATGATGTTGTGCAAGCAAACTTATAAATGTATATATGTTCGCCTACAGGACCGTGTTTGAGTCTTAGCAAAAGGAGCCTCTTTGGCTTATAAGAAGAAGGCTATATACAAAAATCGGCATGGATATAGGTATAAAGATAGGTATAGAGATTGCGGCAACGACAAGGTAATGGAAATACGAACAGGAAGAGATGCAAAGGTAGAGATAGAGATAGGCGATAAATACATAGATAGAGATAAGAGACAGCGACGGAAAAAGAAATCAAGATTGTGATGGAGACAAAGACAGACGATAGATGGAGATAGAGGCAAAAGTAGAGATTGAGATAGAAAAGTGATTACGTTTTGATATTGAGATAGAAATAGAGATCAGATACGGAAATGTAATTAGATTTTGATATTCAGATGATAACGAGAATAGAGCTAGAGGCAAAGTTAACAAAAACAAAAAAAAACAAATTCATAATTCGATATAAAATAGAAGTAAAAATAAAAATGTTGATAGAGACAAGTGTAAAGGAAAAATAAAGTCAGAGATAGAGTTAAAAATATAGTCATATACAGGGAAAGACAGAGAGACAGATTGAACAATATAGGCGGAAGCAAAGATAGACGTGTAAAAGTGCGGCTGGAAAAAATATAGCGAGCTAGAACGAGGTCTAGCGATCGCAAGTGCTTAGAAGGGAGAGCTTTAATTAGAATAGGGAAAAAGTCATCAAAATAGGGGGGCAAGTGGAAATAAATGAAAAAATCTTGCGACACCTATCATTTAAATGCTTCCAGACTTACATGTAAAAGTTTACTTTCAAGATGAAATTAAGAATTTAGGCACGTTACAGGATAGTAAAAATTTGAAGTATTCGTAATTTTGGCCAAGGTACATTGTCTTTTTTTGCTATAGATAATATTTGAAGATTTTTTACAATGTTAGATATCTGGAAACAATTAACATTTAAAACGTTTTTTAATTGGGAAATTGCTAAGATTGTTAAATCAATACTAACCTGAGATTTTAATTTTTTCTCTTTTCGAACAATGAGACTTGACTTGGAGATCGTTCTAGCATATAGAAGAACGAAAAATGATAAACAGTTATAATGTTTTTTTTTTTTAATCTCTTGTAAAAGTTGAGGTTGATACTTGTTAATCTTATAATGAATACTCATGCTGTTAGGATTTTTATTTGAATTGCATAACTTCTTCTATTATGGTTTCATAGTTTCACGATTAATTTACATGTTTTGATCAAATTTATTATGTTATTGAAATTATTATTTACAAGGCTGGGCTTAACTCGTTCCAATTAGAATCTATAGAAAAGTATGTCGCTGCTTGAAAATTGCATGTAGTTATGGTCGGTTGTTATGATTTGACTTTTCACGTTTAAGTTAATACTCTCAAAAGAAAGAGTAGTTAGATACGGACCTGGTTTTATGTTTAAAAATCCTTTTAGTATTTACATGTTAAGCGCATCTTGTAGCTTTCATAAAAAATAGTGAAATTTACAAAGCGTGCATGTGCTTGTATGTACTTATGTATGATTTATATTCATCAACGAGCCTAAACATCTGTTCATGCATACATATACATATATACAAATACGCTCGCAGGACTATTTAAATAGCAAATATTCATAGTATATATAACTACTTATCATTTTGATATAAAAAATGTTTATTTGCAATGATTTTTAAATATATCTAAGGGACACAATTCTCTTTAACATGTTCCCTGTCAGGCTATTTACGAGCATAGGCCATATCCCCGGCCTGTGAGCTGTGTTTGAAACACAAAATACAAATTTAATCATTTTGAATATATCCGGATTTTGTGTGTTGATAAGAGAAAAAGTATATAAATAGATATTTTCCAAACGCTAATGTCTGCCATTTAAGAAAAAGAGAGGGATCTAATTGCCACACCACGTATGTGTTTGTGTTTTTGGGTAAACAGTGATAAGAACAATGGATTTTTAAACTCTAATATTTTACATTAAGTAACTGTACTCTGTTTGGTGTACCGAAAACGGTACACGTGGCAGGAAGGGTATTAAGGATGTAATTGTAACTGTGCTAAATTGCGGAGATGCGTGCTAAGCAAGTGATTGCATTCAATTGAGAATTGCTCGCGATTACGTTCCCCTAACTTCCGAATTGAATCAAGGGGATCAGCTATATTGCAAATTTTAATAATATTGAGGCCAGAAAGCCATTCATAATTAATTTGGTGAGTTATATTGTAAAGTTCAAGAGTCGGGCCGTTATAAGACATACTAGGAACGTTATTTGAGCATCATTCGTCCTCTGCGTGAGGCACACATCGAGTCGGTTCTTTTGCGAAATCGAAAAATTATTTGGAAAATATATTGGACGTTCAAAATTCGTATTAGTTGACGGCTCAAGACGTAATGAGATGTTTATTGCGTTTGAAAAATGCAAAAGTGCGTACAAGCAATCGCACAAAGCATATGCAATCCCAATTAGTCCAAGAGTCAGTTCATTTAAATTTACATGCATTTCCCTTTAACAGAAATTATTGGAATTTTTTTTACTGCAAAAACTGAAACAAAATGCTGTTAGTTCAATTCATGTACCAGTATAACTATGAAGATGCGAAGTATACCGTGAATGGTCAAAAGAAACGAAAAGCCACAAAATTGTATGGAGTTATGGGTTATACAAAAATATATATATATATATATATATATATATATATATATATACGATAAAAGCGTAAAAGATTCGGTCACAGCCGCATATAGTCTTCTTTTACTTGTTTTTACTCGTTTTAGTTTAAAATCCGCTGCCTTTCGACGCTTAAGATGCTGATGTAAGATGAGTTAAGAGTTTTAAAGGATAATCAAGCTATTGATTTCCATAAGAAATTTAATCGGTGTTTATTCCTTAATTCTGTTTATACCTATCGACAAACGCAGCTTTCTTGACATGTTAAATATTTCGTATGTTAACAATGAAGAAAATAATTAAGTGCAGTGATGGACAGGATGTCAAAAAAAAAAAAAAAAATTCAGTTTACCAGACAATCACTCATTATGCGCGCGATCTGTCTGTTATTTATTTTGAGTTAAACCTGCAATAAATAAATGCAATGAATGACAAATTTTCATGCTAGGCAATATAAAGCAAGAAAAAAAGAAGAAGAAAAACAATTGGGAAAATGGATAAAAATATGCAACAGAATGTCTGTTGAGGACTTAATAACAATTTGTACACTTTTTGAGTTTTTTATTTATCTGAAAATTCATTAAGTTTTTCATAATTACTCGCATTTATTTACAGGCGGTATATGATAAGGGTCCAACACCAGGTGGTAGTGGTGGGGTTGGCGTTGGTGGCATACACTATGCCAGTGATGTCGCCAAATCGAACGCCCTCGCTTATAGAGGACCGTTTAGTCCTGCCGTTTACCAGCAGCAGCAGCAGCAGCAGCAGCAGCAACAACAAAAACAAACGTTAAAACACTCTGGTGGTAACGCAGGCGGCGCAGTGATATCGCAACAGAACATAGTTTATGCGGTGCCACATAATACTCCTCAAAATCGTGAACGCAATCCCCATATTCAATCAGCATTGCAGCAACAACAAGAGCAGCAAGCACACTCACTGCAACCGCAACCAGTGCAGCATGTTGTACGCGCAGCATTACCGCAGCCACAGAAAATTCAATATGTTATTGCAATACCGATGTCATATTTACGTCAATTGCAACAACAATTGGTACAACAACAGCAACAGCAATTGCATCCACAACCACAACATGTGAATCAGGCCCCCACTCAACAGGCACTAGTTGCATCCCCGTCAATTACTACAGTTGGTGGCCTTCGTTTCGCTCATCGGTTCAATCCGTCATCAGGCAGTGATATCACACCCGTCGCCGGGCTAACGAAGGTGCCATCATTGCCGGGCTATACCACTCAACTTGTCCAAATACCAACCAGTGTACTTGTAGCAGCTGCTCAAGCAGCCGCTGCTTATCAACGACCAAACCATCAGCCCGTCTATCAACAACATAGTCAGCCCATTCAACCTCAAGCCACTCAACAGCATTACGTTTATCAGCAACACGCTCAACCGCCAAAGCATCCCCAGTCACCAGGTCAGATTATTCAGCAAGGACCACTTTATGGTAATTAATTAAATGCAAAATTTTTCTTTGTGTTCCCTTTTCCCTTGTTTTCGCTCAGACAAAGAAATAAACTTTTATATAAAAAGCTCCGCTCCGCTCCGCTCCGTACATTCCTATTCTACTCGTCCGTCAGCCATCTCCATTTAACTATCCTTCACTGCTTTCAGAATTTTTTGGCATATAAATATTCTTAATTGATTTTATATTTTACTGAAAGATATGCGTACTACAGTCTTGTTTATAGGCAGAAGTGCCGCACGTTATGCTGCATTTGTGAAATTCCACTATTTTACTACTATTTTAATTGATGCACAGATTCGCAAAAATGAACCTAAATGTTTCTCTTCATTTACAAAAATGTTCGGCTCATTGCTTAAAAAAAAAAAAAAAAAATCGGTTGTAAAAGCAAGTCTTGAGCAATCAAGCAAATGAACGCAGTCTACGTATTGACGTTGGCTTATAATAGTTTTAACATCCTCTTAAAGGAAACATCGTATAGCGTTGCGCTAGAAATTGTTTCGGTAAATATTTTTAGAATTCCCTGCTTCGCCTCATAGCAAAAAATAAGATCATTATTGTGGGCCATGGCTCATCATCATAAATAACCTGCAACACGTTACAATGATTTATATAATAACTTCTCAAAATAACGCATTATATAGGAATGCAAGGAACATAGGTGAACAAGTGGTCTCATCCAAACCATTTTCGATAGTGTTCGTCCCTGGGTCAAACCCCATCAACGTACAACAATTTTCATCAAAATATTTTTAAAAAATTACGCCTTATAGGTTGACCATAAGAAAACAAGGCAGACAGACGGACAGACAAGCTTAGATCGATCCAGGAAATGATACAAAAAATTATTCTGAAACGACGTGTCTATCTGAAGTACTTCTGATTTTTCTATACTGCCTTGCGTCATGCACCACAAGTGGTATAGGGTATAAAAATTGTATCACTTTTAATATTTCACGACAAACATTAGCGAAAAATAAAAGCGTAATAGCGCATTCCATGGCCGATCAACTTTAACGAAGAGTGTACCCTTTAGGCTCATGCTAATGCTTGTTAACATTATTAAGTATATCGGCGGATCGTAGCGGGATGAAGAAAATTTATAAATTTTAGCTATTAAAAGGTGTACTTTTATTGAAATTTAGAAGGTCCGATAAAGAAATTGAGTTATAAACTGTATTCCTAGGGATGCGGTTATGCTTAGATTGTAAAGTGAATCTATCCCACTATCTGAATCTTTGTCAACATAACTTAGTACTTTACTTAACATAATATTCATAAAAATCCGCCTAAGTAGGCCAGTAGGTAAGAATCGCGATTGCCGACTCAGTGTTCTCAAGTGCGGTAGAGTTTTCTTTGGTCGTAATTGTAATGAGTGCCTATACCTACTGAGGTACGGCCTCCACCTATTTCTTTCTTTGTCTTTGCCTTCTTCTTTCTTACAGCCGCCGTGCCATACGAATAGGCGACATCCCCTGAGTGCTTGGTCGTAGTAAAAGAAGAAGAAAAATACCATTAAACAGAAGCGATTAGGCGCCTGTTATGGTAATTAGTCTTTAACTTTTGTGTGAACGCGACTTTACATAAACGCTCAATAGTAAATGTATTCGAAAAAATTGACTCGTACTCGGTCACGGAAATCGTCAATTTTAGTGAATGGCGAGGCAAGTAATTTATAAACTTGTGTTATCATCTGATATCGCTTTTGCATATAGTCCTTGAAATTCTCCGCAAACGTGCTTTCAGCTCATCAGCTCAGAAACCGTAATCATAATAAGGGCACCCCACTGAAACGGTTTTGCGCCTGTCTAATGCGATGAATTATTTTCCTTTTTTTTTCTTTTTCAATATATAAAATCGCTATAGTTGATCAATTATATATGCGTTATGATTTGCAATTGGATGAAATATAGGGCGTGCATACGTAAACAAGAATTTTGTAAACATACGATTAAATCGTGCGTATAATTTATCTGTAATATATATCCCGTTACTGTCTCGACATGAGCACAAATCATTGATTTGTGGTTTGTTAGCATAGCAAAAGTAAATTCGCTGAAATTCACTTATGTCGTATGAAAGCAACTAAAATTTTATTGAATTTCGTAAATTTCATTAGAGAATGTAAGGGGAAACTATATATTGTTTAAAGCGCATATATGCGATGAGTACAATTAATTTAAATTAAATTTTATTTTGTTAACGTTTCTTTATTGAAGCCATTCATATACCGCAACAGCAACAGCCGCTTGTACCCGCATCCCTGGCACCGTACCAAATAATTCATTCACAACCGTCAAGCGCTAGACAACAACAGCCGGCGCTTGTACGCATTGGCAGCTTATCTCCGCCAGGCAATCAATTGGCGACTCAACAAGTGGCAGGAACACAACATGTTCCCGTGCAAGTTCCCGCACAGCAACAACATCAACAACAACAGCAACAGCAGCAGCTGCAACAACAACAACAGCAGCATAATTTACACCAGCAACATCAACAACAACAGCATCATCATAGTCAACAGCAACAGCAATCGCAACAACAACAACAACAACAACAACAACAACAGCAACAACAGCAACACCAGCAACCGCCACAATCGGTGTCAGAGTACAATATTAAGCAGCAGCAGCAGCAGCCGCAACCGCCACCAGTAGTGGCACCAGCATATCAACCGGCCATAACCTATAATCCGCAGTTTATAATACAACGGATACCGTTACAGCATCAACAGCATTTCGTACAACAGCCACCAGCTGGTGTCGAAGAGAATCTAAATTATGCGCCTTACACTCAGGGCATACCAGGCAATCCCGCCCCATTGCCCTTCATACGTATAGCTACACCACATCCAACGCATTATTATCCCTTTTTGCCTTCACCTGAGGTGCAGCAACCAATTTATGTAAGTAATTTACCGACATCCGTAAACAAGGTGGCGCCCTATGCGAATGTCGCTTTACCACCAACTTATGCCAATCAAGATATTGGGGTAGGTCCCGATACCGGAGTTCCCGGCCCTGCTGTACGTTACTTTAATCATCACGGTGGCGTACATTATGGCAATCAAATATTTCATACTGTGTCTGCACCGACGGCCTCCAGCAAACTGGCAGATAGCACAGCAACTTCTAATATTCAGCCAAAACAATTGCACAACTACTTAAGTATACCCGGCACAGCTACCCCGGCCTTACCTGCAGCACCGAAACGAACTGGTGGACCGACAGCTGCTGCTGACAGTCAAACAGTGGTAAAATATCCTTAAGGGACTTACTTGTGATCTATGTTGACTTTGTTCACTCTGGCAAATAACAATTTTTCTCTGAGATAATAACTAACTGTCAACTAACTAAAACGTGCATGGACAACAACAATAGCCAACGGCTGACCCCATTTACTTTTTCATTCATATACATGCTATATATATATATATATTACTTACCATGAATTACGTTAAGTGGCATTCCTTTCTGTTGGCATCTTCTTCTTGGAGACGTATATACATACTTTTTCTTTTACTTTCATTTCATTTCCTATATATGCAAATGATTGCTTCTATGCCCCTAGTCTTGAGCGATTATCTTTTATGTGTGTGGTGCAGTGAGATAAATGTAAAAAAAAAAAAAAAAAAAAAAAAACATTTTTTTTTATAACAAAAATTAAATTTCTTGCAGTTAGCCTTTAATAAAATATTTATTATTATTGTTATTATTATTATTTTTTTTTTTATTTTGATTGAATTTTTGTAAATTTGTAAAGAATATTTTTTGGTTTGGTTAAAATAAATCGTTCGTTTAACTCTTATCGAATTTCATTATTTATACGGAATCAATATTTTCTGATTGATGATGATAAGTATATCAGGCAGGGGATAACATTGTGTTAGTCTCGATTCTGTTTCAGTTGACTGGCATCTTGATCTCATATATTCAAACTGAAACGTTTTGAAACTCTTTCTCAGGGTATAGCTATACGAAACTTTAATTGTCACGCAGTGTCAGCAAGTGCGACTCGCATCAAGTCAGGGCGAAGATTATTTTATAATTTCTACTTCGAATGAATCGAAAGATTTGAAAATGGATATTTTTAATGGTGAAATCAAGCAACACAATAATTCAGTGCGCCGTGTATTGTGGATTGCTCCAGAAGTTACACGGGACTAAATCAGGTGAATACGATGGTTGTGGAACGATGTTGGGTGAATTTTCAACGAAGTTATCTCGAAGAACCAACACAATGCGAAATGATGCATTTACGTGATTCAAGAACCAATAAGTGTCTTTCCACAATTTCGGCCTCTTCTTGCGAATAGTTTCACTCAACCTCAAGGACGTATAACACTCAAAATAAATAATACTTCTTGTTAACAGTTTGGCCCGGCCGAAGCAATTCGTAGTGCACAAAAACACGAAAGTCGTAGAACACTCTTAAGATCACCTTAATTTTTGAGCGATTTTGGCGCGATTTTACGGTCTCGGCTCATCTTCTGCACGATATTCATGCGATTAATCAGTTGTTTCCGATTCGATATATATATATATATATATGTTAAATTTGCTACTTTGTAGTAATTTTCGTGATACGATACCGAAAATGAAAGGGAGTTCAAAAATTCAAGCACTTTTCCACCCAAAGTTTTCAAATTGCTTTCATATTCCAGAAATATTCTTTTCTATCGATTTTTGTTCGACTCTATTCAGAATGGAAAAATATTTTCATAAATGATAGCCAAATTGATCCAAGCCAATTGGGTTCGTTCTTGCGTCACAATATGTTAGTGCAACAAATTTGATTAAAATGTCTCGTAAATTGCAACCTACATAAGTGGACAGACAGATGGACGGACATGCTTAAATATAATATAGAAATGTGCTTTGAATCGATTGACATAATAATAGTCGGAGTTACTTTAAATCTTTCTCAGTCCTGCATAAATGCGCACAAGTTTACTATGCATACCTTTACCGCAAGTAGTGTAGGATATAAAAAGGAATTATCCTCGATGTGTTTGTTTGTTCGCTTTTTCTTTTTCTTTTGTCTTAAATTATTATCTGTTTATCTTATAATCTTAATACATTTGAGTTTTTGGCGTTTATTTTGTCGTGACATTGTATCGATTATTAAGAAGAAGTTTTTCATTTCGCTTGCCTTGTAGTTGCTGTCTTTTGCTATGCAAACATTAACTTATTTATGTGCACGTTTCATCATTCAACCGTAATTTGTCAGCTGAGTGAGTAGAGGTTTAAGTCAACAGCAAATATTGCATTTTTGTCCATTCATTCATAACCATTTGTTACGTTCATCTATTACAAGCGGCAACCACTTAGTCAAAGGGCTAAACGATCCAGTCATTCTTTTTTTGCTTTTTTTTTGATTCTTTAACTTTGCTTTGAATTTCGCTTAAAAATTTGTTTATCTACGTGTGCGTACCACTCACTATATACATGTATATATGAGCAGATATGACTTGTTTCGAATTTTATTTTTATAAACGAATTTTTTATTTATCTATTAGTTAGTACATATAGATAATCAACCGATTTTAGGGTAAAAAACAAAACCAAGATTATTTTTACTTTTACTTTATTCTAATTATAATGTGGATAGAGAGATTAGATACCACGTTAAAAAAGAAATGCAAAGAACTCAGTCTAACTATGATTAGTATATATGTGTAAACTACGTATGAGGAAGAGTATGAAATGCATTGATTTCGCCATAGAATGCACGTGTAATTAGCAAGCTTCAGCCAATGTAATTTGAAAGTTAAAGATGCTCGAATACGCATTTTATGGTAGTTGTTCTCTTAGAATCGGATATAGTAAGTGGTTAAATATCGCATAATTGAATTTAAATTGATTAGGTTTAATTCAATGAATTTGGTGACTTACACGACGAGGTAAATTAATGTCAATTTCATTTAATAAGGCAGGCTAGGTTTATTTATTCACTGAGCAGATCGTATCGACGCCTTTGTAGTGAAAATAAGGCAATTAGTCGGGTCTCACTCTCTCTCTTTCTCTCTTCCTCCCTCTCTCTCTCTTCCCCCCTCTCTCACTCTTCCCCCCTGTCTCTTTCTTCCCCCTCTCTCTCTCCCTCCCTGTCTCTCTCTCACTCTCTCTCTCTCTCTCTCTCTCTCTCTTTCCCTCTCTGTATCGGGCTACGATAACTTCTATTACTTCTATTATTTATTTGTTTCGCGAAAATACTTTACCGCAAGTAAGATAAAGCAAACTAATGAACAAAGGACGGGAAAGGTGAGAGATATGATGGTTGTCCGCTTGCAATTTTAACAAAATTTCATATTTTTACATTTCGTTTGTAAGATATTTAAGGAAGTAAACTGAATGTCTTTGACATGTACAAAACATGACATGTAACAAAAGAGTCGTTCAGCTGACGGTGGAATTAAGTTCCAAGAAATAAAGTCTTACTGGGGAATGTCGCTCGAATATTTTCAAAATTAAAGCTACATGACCAGTTAATATGCTCGATAAAAACTTTTGGTAAATGAGAAATTTAAGCATGCGTTGGATTTAATCCTGCGTTTGCTTTTATTTGAAATATTACTTAATGGATGCATAAAAAATTTCCAAAAATTTGAGCTTTTTGTTTTTTTTTTTTTTTGTCTATAGACAATATTAGGAGTATTGGATAATTAATTTAGTCGCTCCGCCGCTTTTATGTTGATATTTAAATACACTTCCACTTCACTTGACAATATTACGCATACAAAATATCAATTAAAATTTTCCATTAATAATGAAATTTTGTACATAGTTTGTTGAATATTTATTTTTGTTTTTTTTTTTTTTTTTTGGCACGCGCGTAAGTGAACAAATCGAAGCGCTTTGCCCTTACATCGTCACAAATTGCCTGTCATTCAAAGAGCACCTGTGGCATATTATATAGTGTTGTGGTGTTTATTTTACCTTTCAGTGTACGTAACGGCCTATATACAAATATTTGTGCCTCTCTTGTGCCTAACGGTATGCAATTCATTTTGAAAAGTATTTCTAAAACGTGTTCTTTCACATGCCTATGCGGCGATTGCCTACGCGAAGAACGAACGAACTATTGTTACAATGATTTAATTTAACTTTATGCAAGTGACACCTGAGCTGAGTGAAAAGTGCAGCTAAGTGATTGACAATGTATCGCATGTGGTCTTATGTATTGCATATACGCTTAAGGCTGATAGTGTTACGGTTGCTTGTTTGCCGTTGGGAGAAAATACTGGCAAAAATCTCCCTAAATGGAAAACACCAATCATAACAGTGTGCGGCATAAAATTTAACTTTTTTTCTTTATTATTATTATTATTTTTTTTTTAACCTAAAATCGTTTTCTAGAAAATAGCAAAGCTCCACATAATAACCGTACGTTAGAGAACATGGTGATGGTTGGCGGTCGATTATGATCACAATTATGTAAATCCGGCTTTTATTTATATTTAATACTATCCGCGTTAAATAGAAGATCTCTTTACATGCATGCTTTATATGCTGTCATATTGTCGGTACGAGCAAGTATGTACAGAAATTTAGACACCGAATATTATTGAATAATTTATTGAAAACTCTATGCATACAGAATACTGGCTTGATAAACAATTTCGTTTAATTTCCTCTTATCTGTTGCCAAATTTACCGACACAAAACAACGAGATCTGCATAAGCACACATACACTCTTTTAGAGACATTAGACCACATCGGTAACCACAGTTAAGCGGTATTCTAATCACTACCTACTCACTAACTGAATAATCGCGACTCACTCACATTTGACTTATTCATATGGTTCTCTTGCATATCTACGCTTTTACTCTCAAACATTCGCTAGAACTAAAATAAGATTCCGTTACGATTTATATGCAAAAGAAGCATAGATTACATTGATTACAAATACATCAGTGCAGGTGAGCTGTCAATATTTAAACTTACTTTTATAAAACATTCACTACTATTGTGGTTTGAGCATCTCGAGCATGGGGTATGCAGTCATGATTATTTTCGTGTCTTCCAAACGACATTCTGGCTTTGGTGGCTAAACAATTATGCTCAATTGTTGTAACAGAAGATTGTGACAAAAGAAATCAAGGTGTTTTTTTTTTTTTTTTTTTGCACTTAACGTAATGTAATCAACCGAACGTTCAATTCCCTTGACATATATTGTGTTAGTTCAGTGCTACGATCGTTACGTTTACAATTACGTGACTGATGTAGAGATTCACCTAAAGTTTTGTTTTCTTATTAGTTAGACCCAAAGTCGAAGATATATTGTGAACTACGATACCGGTACATAAAACTTTTTTCTATCTGTATTTTATCCTCATTTTGCATTTGTTTTGTGAATTTTTTCACCTACTTTCGAGGATCAAAGATGTGATTAAATCTTATATCGAAAATCAAAATATCAAAAAATCAACTGAGATATTTTAATTTAGTGGATCAGATTTGAGAAAATTTGAGATAGAATAGATAAGAGAAGGCACGCTTCCAATAAATAAAAAATTTCCTCTGCCCAAAATAAACGAAAAATATCGATATACATACTCACGTTATCACAAGGCCATCTAAAATTTCGACATATAAATGGCTGCTCCTAATATTGACTGAGTGATTAGAGCGAAGATTTTTTTAATTGTTATTCATTGGTGCGCAATGTTGATAGTTGAACCTGACGCATCTTAATAATCAATCAAATTTTTCAATTCTAATATGTTTACACTTTTTTCTGATTTGGGTGAAGGGCGTGTCATGCATAGAAATGAAATCGCTTCCCGATACCATAGATTCATAAAGTCTCTTAGAAAGGACTAGAAGAGAATGTTGCCGGATGCAAAAAATTCGCAAATTCTATTATGCAAAAGCAAAGAAACGTGATTGACCTACGATATACGTATTGCGTTCATTTGGATAGGTAACTTCTTTCTGCAGGTAAAACTTATAAAAAAACAATCGAAAATATCAATGTAAATAATGATCATCCGCCTGGGTGGCCGAGTAGGCAAGAGTCTCGACTAGCAACTCAGTGGTCGTAAGTTCGAATCTCAAGTGCGGTAGAGTTTTTAATAAAAAGGCCGATAGCCTTAGATGCTAGTGCTTTTAAGAGTTTAGTCTTAGAATTTATTTCTCTGGCGAAATTAATAATAATAATAAT